CAGATATGTGCCAAATGAGTCACTAATAAAACAAGAGGGGCACGCAACCCAAAGGTGGTGTTCTATATTGAAGTTGGTTTGTTTGATATATCTGGCTTGGAGGGCTAAACTAAGATTGGATGATAGAAATTTCAAATTAGAGTGAAAGTTTTCTTGTTTGCAAGTCCAAAACCCAGGTGGAGTGAGAGTGACTGCGTGAGTGAGTTAAAGTTTGAAGAAAGAGAATAATAATAAAAACAATGAAAGAATTCTTGTATTCCTTAACCTGTCGACCAGGATGAGATGGGTACAATATATATACATAGAATAAAATAATAATGGAGCATAAGAAGAGAATAGGCAGTTGCCTATGTACAATTATTCCTAATTGATTGTCTTTCTAATTTAGTTGATTCTAAATCTGTATGAGAGCCTCCATTGGTAACTGTTAATCTTGAGAGAGAAGAGCCTTCATTGGTAACTACAAATATTGAGAGAGAGTCTTCTTTGGTAACTGCTAGGGAGCCTTTGTTGGTAACTGCTAAACTAGACTGAGAGCCTCCATTGGTAATTGCCAGACTTGTGGAGATATCATTTGGAGAGCTTTCCTTAATACGCCCCCTCAAGTGAAATTGGGCTGGAAGCAAATGAAGCATGGACCGGAGAAAGTCAACTCTACCCGAAGCAAGAGGTTTGGTAAAAATATCATTCAATTGATAATCAATAGAAATATATTGGACGTCTAGATTTTTGTAGAGAATATGATCGCGCAAAAAATGAAAGTCCACTTCGATGTGCTTCGTACGAGCATGAAACATCGGATGCACTGCCAGATACGTAGCACCAATATTATCACAATAGAGAATAGGAGGAATGGATTGACGAACACCCAAATCCTGTAACAGAGACTGAAGCCATAGTAATTCAGTGGCAGTATTAGCTAATGAGTGAAATTCGGCTTCAGTGCTAGAATGGGAAATGGTGGGTTGTTTTTTAGCACTCCAGGAGATTAAATGGACCCAAGAAAAATACCATAACCGCCAATAGACTGGCGGTCATTAGAGCAGCCGGCCCAATTCTGAAAAAGCAACTAAACACCCAAGAGAATTAGATGCAAAGAATATCCCATACTCAATTGTACCTTTGAGATAACACAGAATGTGTTTTACTGCCGTTCAATGATCATTGGTTGGATTCTGAAGAAACTGGCAAGCCTTGTTCATAGAAAATGCCACATCTGGCCATGTGAGAGTAACATATTGTAAGGCCCCAACAATGTTGCGATATTGAGTGGGATCAGGAAGAGGGTCACCCTTTTGACAATCTAGACATAGGAGCCATAGGCGTGGTCAAGGGTTTAGAGGCTACCAGATTGGTCTTCTGTAGGAGGTCCAAAATGTAGCGTCGTTGGGAAAGAAACAACCCAGTCTTGTCTCAATGAGCCTTTACTCCAAGAAAATAATGTAGAGATCCAAGGTCCTTAAGAGAGAAACTCCGAGACAGATCTGAAATAAGTTGAGAAACATGAGCAATAGAAGAGCCAGTAACAATAATATCATCAACATAAACTAAAATATATAGAGAAATATTATCTTTGGTATAGATAAAGAGAGAGGGATCACACTGGGAGCTTTTGAAACCAAGACCATGAAGCCTGTTACTGAGCCAAGAAAACCAAGCTCGAGGGGCTTGACGAAGACCACAAAGAGTTTTTGTAAACTTGCAAACATAATCTGGGCGTGTCTGATCTTCAAGACCCCGGGGTTGTCTCATATATATATATATATATATATATATATATATTCTTGAATAAATCCATTCAAGAAAGCATTGTGGACATCTTGCTGTTTGATGTCCCATCCTTGTGAGGTGGCCAATGATAAAATCGTATGGATAGTGGCCGGCTTAACAACAGGGCTAAAAGTGTTAGTGAAATCGACACCATCAACTTGAGAGAAACCCTAAGCAACTAATCTTGCTTTATATCGCTCTACAAAACCATCAATATTTCACTTAATCTTGTAAACCCACTTAGAGCC